GCACATGTATCCCTACCAAACTTAAAAGTTAATAATAATAATAAATAAATTAATTAAAAAAAAAAAGAATAGGGAAACCCAATTTCACCTTGGTTATCTCTAGTTCTATTACGTGTCAATAGATTTACTGTTTTCTTTAGCTTTAGTTTCAAGAAGAACTAAATATGCCCAAGTGGTATTTCAACTTCCACTTAATGAAACCTGTCATCTAAAGAAGTTTTCTCCCTTGGGAACTAATATCTCTAAATGGGGAGAACCCAAAGTTTCACAAAAGGGAAGCAAAAGTCTGCAAGTGCAAATTAGGCATAATAGTGCAGGGAGCTCCCTCCCCTTGATTTTCAGATTCATGTGTTTCTGCTGTAAGAGAAATTACACGTTGGTCACTGATTCAAAGTTTACACCACACACTGTAGGACAACATCCTAACCTTACGATGTGTTATTTACCAGCTGGGAGCATTAACTGAGTTACATGGTTCCATTCTATCATTTCAGGTTCTTCTAGGTGAAGAATTCAATTGTTGTAAATTCAGTGAATTGCATAAACGTGAGCCTATTACCACAGTTTTTTTTTTTTTTGGGAGCAAAACAAGTTGCTTAGTCAAAAACAATATTGTGTGGGATATCATGATACTGAATAACAAATTATTTAAGTTCATGCATGGTAGTACCAGCAGAATAATTGCAAATGTAAATGGTGAATTCGTGCCCAAAATAGGTATCTATTTCAATGAGGACAAAATCCCTAAGGCATAGGTTTCAATGTCATCAATCTTCAAGTTGACTGGGTAGCCCCTGAGGGAAGGTTGTCATATTAGCCTTAGAGTTGTTCTACATTGGTCCAGATAAAATTTGATTATGTAAAGTCACGAATACCTTCTATCCTTAATGTCATGTGCATTTGTCCAAGAGCCTGTTGAATAAGTGTTAGGTGACTAACATCTATTATACAACATGTCATTTTATGCATATGGTTACTCCTCTTCAGTGGATTCCCTCTAATGAGAATTTTATTGGGATACAAGTATTTTCAGACTTTGTGTCTATTTTAAGAAGTCATCCTCTCATCATCTGTCTTTTAATATTCTTTCTTTCAATTCCCTGCTCATCTAGCCAAACTTTTAGCAGCTACTCATGAATCAGGGTCCACTTCTGGTAAAACTATGAGTACACTAGGTAGGTAAGTGAATCAGCGTGGGAAATTTGTCAGTTTCCAAGCATGTCTGTTTAGCCATAGAATGGACCCAGAGGATCACTGAACTGTGAGACAATCAGGTAAAAATTTCATTATCATTTGACCCCTAGAAACCTAAACTGTTCTGATTTTTTATTTTTAAAAACATCAAACTATTCTAAAGTAAAGAGAATCATATATCAATTCCCCATGTGTCCACTGCACAGCATCACAAATTTTAAACCATGCATGAGTTCTCATTTTGAATAGAAGGATCCAGGGAACAGAGGACACTAAAAGTCCCAAATATGGTCATGTGTCACATAATTTTTTTTTTTTGGTAAATACTAGACTGCATACAATGTTGGTCGCTGAAGATAACAGAGCTGAAAAATTCCTACCATCTAGTAACACCGTGGCCATGATAACATTATAGCACAATGCATTACTCATGTGTTTGTGGTGATGCTGGTATAAGCAAAATCAGTGACATTAAAGGTTAGCACATATAATTATGTACTGTATGTCATACTTGGTAATGATAATAAATGACTATGTTACTAGTTTATGTACAGTTGATCCTCAAACAGCATGGATTTGAAATGCATGAGTCCACTTATATGCAAATTTCCTTCTGATTCTTCCACCCCTCAGACAACAAGACTAATTCCTCCTCTTCTTCCTCCTCCTCAGGCTGCTCAACATGAAGATGTAGACAAAGACTTTTATGATGATCCACTTCCACTTAATGAATAGTAAGCATATTTTCTCCTCCTTATGATTTGCTTAACAAAATTTTATTTTCCCTTACTTTATTGTAAGAATACAGTATGTAATTAACAAAGTATGCATTAATTGACTGTTTATTTGATCAGTAAAGCTTGCAGTTAAGAATAGGCTATTAGTAGTTAAGTTTAGGGTAGCCAAAAGTTATATATGGATTTTCAACTGCACAGGGGCTGGTCCCCCTAAACCTTGCATTGTTCAAGGATCAACAGCATTTTACCATAGTATACAGTTTATTCATGTTTCAGAGTGTAGTATTTCTACTCATTAAAAAAAAAATCTATAAAACATCCTCAGGCAGGTCTTTCGGGAGTTATTCCAGAAGAAAGCATTGTTATCATAGGACATGACAACTGTATGCATGTTATTGCCCCTGAAGACCCTGAAGACCTTTCACTGGGACAAGATGTTGAGATGGAAGACAGTGATATTGATTATCCTGACCCTTATGGGGCTAAGCTAGTGTGTGTGCTTGTATCTTAGTTTTTAACAAAAAAATTAAAACATAACAAAATAAAAATAAATAAAGCTTATAGAATAAGGATATAAAGAATTTCTGTCCAGCTGTTCAATATGTTTGTGTTTTAAGATGTGTTATTATAAAAGAATCAAGAAGTTTAAAAAATTAAAATGTTTATAAAATGAAGTTATGATAAGCTAAGATGAACTTGTTAAAGAAAGAAAAGTTTTAAATACCTTTAGTGTAGCCTAAGCATAGAGTGTGTATAAAGTCTACAATCATGTATGGTAATATCCTAGGCCTTCACATTCACTCACCGTGCACTCACTGACTCATCAGAGCAACTGCCAGTCCTGCAAACTGCATTCATGGTAAGTGTCTTATACTGGTGTACCACTTTTTTTTTTAACTTTTGTTTTATATATATATATACACACACACACACACATATATACACACACACACACACACACATATATATGTTTTTTTCTTTTCTTTTCTTTTCTTTTTTTTGAGACAGGGTTTCATTCTGTTGCCCAAGCTGGAGTGCAAAGGTGTGATCTTCACTCACCACAACCTCTGCTTCCTGGGTTCCAGTGATTCTCCTGCCTCAGCCTCCCGAGTAGCTGAGATTACAGGCACATGCCACCACGCCCAGCTAATTTTGTATTTTTAGTAGAGACAGGGTTTCTACATGTTGGTCAGGTTGATCTCAAACTCCTGACTTCAGCTGAGCCGCCCTCTTCGGCCTCCCAATGTACTATATTTTTACCCTACATTTTCTATGTTCAGATATTACTATTGCGATATAATTGCCTACAGCAGTGGTCCTCAACCTTTTTGACATCAGGAACTGGTTTGGTGAAAGACAATTTTTCCAAGGAGTGGAGATGGTTTTGGGATGAAATTGTTCCACTTCAGATCATCAGGCAGGGTTAGAGTCTCATAAGGAGTATGCAACCTAGATCCCTCACATGTGCAGTTCACAATAGGGTTCGCGCTCGCATGAGGATCTAATGCTGCTGATGATCAGACAGGAGGCAGAGTTCAGGTGTAATGCTCGGCTGACCAGCCACTCATCTCCTGCTTTGCGCCCAGTTCCTAACAGGACACAAACAGATGTTGGTCCATGGCTTGGGTGTTGGGGACCACTGGTCTACTGTATTCAGCACAGTGACATGCTACACCGATGTGTAACCTAGGAGCAATAGGCTATACAATATAGCCTAGGTATGTAGTAAGCTATACTATCTAGGTTTGTATAAGTACACTCTATGGTGTCCGCACAGACACAAAGTCACTTAATGATGCATTTCTTGGAATATATTACCATTAAGTGAGATTCACCTGTATTAGTGTCATCTCAGGTTTAGTGTCTAGTAATTTCAAAAGTATTTGTATATTCTTCTTTCCAGACACATCCTCATGCTCTGGTACATATATCTGTTTTATTCCCTAGACCCACTCTTTACTTTTCTACATTCTGCTTTGTTCCTTAGGAGGCTAACCTGAATTGGATATTTCAGCTATCTCCCTTACCTTCATGCTTTTATTAGGGTTCAGCTAATGGAGGGGGTGGCAGAAGATAGGAGAGAAAAGAATGAGTTTATCCCTCACTTTTGCCCCTGCAGGGTCAGCACAGGCACACTGTGTCCCTTTGCTGAATGTCACAGCTTCTGTCTGGGGCCTTCTTGGCGAGTTAGCACTGTCTCTAGGTGACTGCTTTGCCCCTTACTACTTACACTCTTCTTTCCGGTTTCTTTATATCTTTCCTATTGTGCTGTAAGTAGTGCCTTTATTAGAGTCTCTCCACGTTACCCAGTTAGATAAAGACAAATAGTTGGTCACTGATCTAGTTCACTCCCTGAGAATCAATTAGCCTTCATCAAAGACCTCCAATAGTCAGATATTCTGTTGGCCGCTCCATTCCTGCTACTCATTATTATAGTTGTGTCTTCCTTGTCTCTAGTGCAGTTACAAAAAATAAGTGCCTCCACTGTCACTTGTTCTTTGCACCTCTAGGATCACATCATTCCCCTTGAAATCAGAGAACCCACAATCTTCCCAAACCCACAAAATTTAGCCATCACAGCACTTTTTGAGCATTCCAGTGCTGACCTCCCACCCCCAATAAATGAATTCTTAATTTCTTAGAGAAATATTTTCTGGGCCTTCTTGTGGGACAGAGTGGGGGACGGCTTGGCATGTGAACCATATCTGATATTTTTACCCCAACCTTCTACTATTCCTATGCTTTTGTATGCATCTCTCTTTATTATGCTAGGAAAGCTCTGGAAACACAACCTCAATATAAGCAGGCCAGCGGGGATTCACGGTTTCTGTTAGACAAACAAACTTGAGCACTCCTTCTAACTTCTTGGGCTAAGACTCTAACTTCAGAATCTCTATGTATCCGTGTTGATAAAGTTAGCCTATGTCAAGATTATATTCTGCATGCTTTATTCAAACACCATGTAAATTTATGCCTCATATATTTTCTAGGCTTTCGCTGATAAGATTTAAAAAAAATAGTGTGGTTGTTTTGGTCTTTAAACGATGTCCATTTTCTACCTGCTGTCCATTGTACTCTTTTTTTTCTTTTCTTTTTCTTTTTCTTTTTTGAGACGGAGTCTCGCTCAGTCGCCCAGGCCGGAGTGCAGTGGCGCAATCTCAGCTCACTGCAAGCTCCGCCCCCCAGGCTTACGCCATTCTCCTGCCTCAGCCTTCCGAGTAGCTGGGACTACAGGCGCCCGCCACCACGCCCAGCTAGTTTTTTGTATTTTTCAGTAGAGACCGGGTTTCAACGTGTTAGCCAGGATAGTCTCGATCTCCTGACCTTGTGATCCACCTGCCTCGGCCTCCCAAAGTGCTGGGATTACAGGCTTGAGCCACCGTGCCGGCCCATTGTACTCTTACAGACCTTGTTGACAATATTATAACTGCAACAGTTAACTACACTAGCCATTTTATCTCTCATATACCACTTTAAAAACACATCATTCCCAATAACAACATTTAATGATTTAAGTAATCATGATACCACCATACACTACAGATGACCAGGTTTCTGTCTTCTACCGACAAGAAGGTCAGGATTTCCTTCAAAATGAAGCAGGTCAGCAAACCACTTCCAGATTCTCATGTGTAAAGATCTATTTTGAGAACCATTTCTAGTACCTATAAAATATTAGTAAGAGTCAAGTCAAGAAGCAGAAAACATTCTAGATAATTTAAACAATTCATGGAAAGATCAATTACAAGAGTATGTGTAGCAAAAGATGAAAGGGTCAGGTTGTTAAAAAATAAGTAACTCAATAAATCTCTGCTTCTTTTGTGTTGGGCGCGTAAAAATGTTGACTAGAGATCAGTGGCAGATGATCCAAGGCGTCAACTGTCAAAGTTCAGCGTCTGGAGCAGGTGCTGAAGAAATGTGCACTTCTAGGTCTGGGGGCCATTGGACCATTACTATTGTCCTTGAAGCTGCCACCATGAGAACTCACATCTCAGCTGCTACAGCCACAGCTGATATCACTGCTTCCAGAATTATTTTTATTGCTTCATCAAGGGGATCCCTCAATACTACCGCTGCTGAAATCACTATTGTTACCCTTTCCAGAACTGTTGTCATTTGCAGCATTATTATTACTGCAACCACCCCTGGAGATGGCTACAAACACCAGAAACAGAAAAAGAGTCACCTCTCCCCTCCCTAGCAGTGTGATTTTCAGTCGGCTCCTCTCGTAGCCAGATAGTATAGAAATGATACACCAATGTCCTTAAGAATATAGATGCAAAATCTTTTAAAACTATTAGAAGTTCTGTTCTCCTTAGAAAACTAAGTATGCCTAAGTATTTTTCAAAAATCCATCAGTAATATAGAATAATGGCATTTATACAGCATTGTGAGAATGTTTTAACAATAAAAGGTATTTTAATGCCATTCACCACATTAGGAGATTGAAGGAGGGAAAACACAGGATTACCTCAGAAGATGTAGGAAAAAAATAAGATGATAAAATACAATATTCATTTATATTAAAATCCTTATATAAAACTAGGAAAGGCAGACAAATTTCTTAACCTGATAAGTTTATCTATAACGAAACCATCAACACCACCATATGTAATGTTGAAGCATAATCACTATTTTTTACTGCAACCTCATTGTGTGGAGATTTTTAAATTACCCATAGAAAATGAAAGAAAATTTGTGGATGCCCTAATCAAATCAGCAAGGTTTTTAGATATGAAGGCAAAGTAAAAAGAAACATGAAATTCTTATAAACAGTAGCAATCAATTAAAAATATTATATTATAATATCACATTCATGATAACATAAAACATTAATGTACCTAAGAATTCAGAAAACATATACACGATATTTTATTTAATTTTGAGTGACATAACAGAGTACCTAAACAAAACATAGGTATACCATGTTCATGCATGGAAAGGCTTACAATCACAAATAAACCAATACATTAATTTATAGCTATTCCAATAAATAT